CAACTTTTGATGTCAATTTCAGATAACTACAAAAAAAAAATCCCGTCCCACCTGTCATCCTCAAAATAACCCCACTCATATGTGAGGCTGACATGTGGGGCCAAACACAAAATTTAATTTTCTAATATAATGTGTCAAAATTGTTGTAATCTTCTAAAATTGGTGTCAGGATTAAGATTGAAATTTGTGCGTTGAACTCGCATTTTTTTTAAATTCACTGCTTCATTAATTTTGTAAGCCAAGATTCAGTTTGCCATTGCTTTGGTAATACTATTTTTTAAGAGTGAATCCCTGTTTTTTACTAAATATTTTGACATTTTTTACACTAATTACCCCATTTAGCGGGATTTCATTCATTTTACCCCATTAGCAAAGTGTGTTTTCACAATTTACTCTATTTAAATTTTTTTAGCGCTCTAACCGATGAGTCCCGATTGTCAGTCCAGTTAGCATGCCACATCAGTCTTTTTTCCTAATGGTTTTTCTGCACGTCGAATCGCATCGCCTAACTTCTCCCGATCGGCCAGACTCAGAGTAAGTAAAATAGTATATTTGCACCACTTTTAATCTCATCCATTGAATCATTCACACTTAAGGTCGTATATGATAATACTAAATAAAAACATACATGATTTCAAATTATACCAGTAACAGTTTCACCTATAATTTATTCAATGGGAACATGCCACGCTGATTAAGTACATTCATCTATCCACAATACTTCTTTGAACTGGAAACGAGTAGTCTAAGCCCATCTAATATGCATCCCAGTCTGAGAGAAAATCTAGCCACAAAGAAGCTAACTACCAGAGGGTGATAAATAGAGGATGCATCCAAGGGGAGAAGATTGCCGTACTAGCTGCCGCTCACTCTGGCAATCGCCAACGGCCACGCCTTGAAGTCTTGCCTACCACTCGTCGTCTACGTTGTCCTACCCCTCCTAACGATTGGAATGCGAGTGATGTGTGTTGTGAATAATGGATGCCAGTGTGGTGTGGCCCGACCTGGGTGACTTGGCCATCGGGCACTGGTGAGCTGCTCTGGTGTGATCATATCGAGCCTGGTTGGCCGGGAGAAGTTAGGCGATGCGGTTCGGCATGCAGAAAAACCGTCAGGGAAAAGCTCGTCGATGTGGCATCCCAGCTGGACCTAACAATAAGCATAGAAAATTTATTGTTTTTCAAATTAATTAATTTTTGAAACTGAAGCATAGAAAATATGGAATGAGGAGAATGCATGTTTGCAAAGATAAAGAGAATTCGAAACATGTAATATTGGGGCAAGTGTGCATGCGAGAGAGAAAATACATGTGTTCATAAGGTGCTGAAGACTACACCTGTGCTACGAAAGGAATGCATCAATGCGATATGGCTCAGATCAGCTCAGAAGTAGAGTTCTAGTTTTGTTGTGTCATAAAATTGCTCATACTAAATAAGACGTCCTTTTTTATTTGATAGGGTTATTTACATGCCTACCACTATTATTGCACGTTGGCATTACAATTTTATTTATTATCATTACCCGCCAAAGAATGATACATCGACAATGGCATAAACACGACTCATATGCAACTGGCATGTATGAAAAATATGTAATAAGATGCCACAAAACGACAACTTGACAAGAATACACAAAAACTTCTTCTCCGATGCCTCCTATCTCTCACCATCTACCGCCCTTTCCACGCCCCTCCTCCCTCGACGACCGCCTTCTCCTCGTGCTCCATCGCTGCCTTCCTTTTCTACCCATTTTTTCTTTGATTATTTTTTTCTTTCTTCTTCCTCTTTGTGCCGGGCCACTCCATGGAGTGTGTTTGCAAGCCTAGCTAGATGGCTATATTTTCCATTCGAGGTAAATTGGTAAAAAACAGCTGTCGATGAAAGGTCTACAGTCAAGCGTTTTGTAACCAGCTGTTAACCTGACGCAGCATGCTGTTCTTCCGCGGTAGGCAATAGAAAGGCAATTCTCCCCCGCACCGCTTTGCTGCTATACCTTTTTCCCTCTCCTCCTCGGCGCCTCCCCATCCCCACCCGCGCCTCCGCCCAGCCGGACCCCTCCACCCCGGGCGAGGCCGCGTCCTTCCACCGCCACCGCCGCCGCCCTCGCCCTCGCCAGCCAATCCTCTGGAACAGCGCCGGAGAGGGGGCGCCACGGCAAGCCCATCCATGACGAGCCGCCCCCCCGCGCCGCGCCACCTCCCCGACATAGGGTTTGCCTCTCGCGCCGCCCTGCCATGCTAAGGCGGGGAGGAGGCGACCTGGTGTTACCCGGAGGAAGCTGTGGCGGGGCCTCGCCGGCGGATGGACGCCGATGAGGCTGCGGGAAGTAGCAGGAGGATGGATCTGAACCTGTACCTCGGCCTCCCCCGCGCCCCGCGGTCTCGCCGCTCCGACCTCGGCTCCGACCTCGCGCTCAGCACCCCGATGCCCTCCTCGCCCTCCTCCTCTGCCGCCTCCGTCGACGCCCCTCCGCCTCCCGAGCCCCCGCATGCCCCCTACTCCCCGTCTCGCGCCGGCCTTTCTCCTCCGCCACCAGAGGTGTACTCCTCGTACCATCCCGAGGACGCGCACCTGCCGTACGCGCCAGCGCCGGTCATCGATGAGCTCCCGGACGACATCGGCTTCGGCTTCCACCCCCCGCCTTCGCTGGTGCGAGCCAGCGCCTTTCTTTGGGAGGATCGCCCGTCTTCATCGACGGCCTCCTCCTCCTTCCTCCCTGACGCTGCAACAAGGTACAGGCGGCTGCTTGAGCAGACAGGAAGCCGGTGGCTCCGCTCTAGGCCCACTGGGCGGTTTAGATCGGACCTTCCACCGCTCAGCTCCGAGGTTCAACCTCTAGGGCATGATGCAGCAGTGCCGGTGCCACATCATGAGGTGGCAATTGATATCGTTGGAGATGATAAGGTAACCGGCAATGGAGTAGAAGTAGGTGCCTCAGAGGAGTCGGAGGAGCGGGGCAAGAGCGTCGCCACATTTGAGTGCAACATATGCTTTGATATGGCCGGAGAGCCGGTGGTCACTTCTTGTGGCCATCTCTTCTGCTGGCCTTGCTTATACCAATGGCTTAATGTCTACTCCAACCACAAGGAATGCCCAGTCTGCAAGGGCGAGGTGACGGAGGCTAATATCACTCCTATCTATGGCAGAGGGAATTCTTGTTCAGATGCAGAGAAGGCTGCGGATGAAGGCAAGCAGCCAGGTCTTACAATCCCACCAAGGCCACATGGAAATCGTCTTGAAAGTTTCCGGCAGCAGTTTCAGCACTTACGCCCAATGTCAAGAAGGCTTGGTGACGCACATGGGATACTGTCATCATGGAGGCGCCTTCTTGATCAACAGATCATGAGTAGTGTGAGTAGATTCGAAGGCCCGTCTGAACCTGCTGTGCATGAAACAGGTGACGTTGCTCCACACACTGGCCGCCTAAGTAGATTGACCACAAGGATGAGAGCAAGACGGTTGCTGAGCGAGGTAGATAACTCTCCTGATGGTGCTTTTGCTGCCCCTGATAGTGATCTGCCTGGAAATAGTGCGCCAGATGCACCTAGAGATGGTTCAAGCCCGGTTTTACCAGAAGGATTTGATTTGTTGCAACGGCTTACTCTTATTGGCATTGCAAATACAGAAAGATTGGCAACTGCCATGAGTGACCTTAGAAGGATAGCTACACCTGGCCAACACGGAGCATCTGCTTCATACCTTAGAAGGTTAGCTACACCTGGCCAATACGGAGCATCTGCTTCATCGCCGAACCCTTTGAATCCCGAGGCAACAGTTGACGGAACCCATGTTGGTGCAGCACCTTCTACAGACCAAGCATCAAACTCGAGCACCATTGCAGTGATACAGGGGGATGCAGGTGTTTCTGAGATGGCGGGAGAGCCTAGTAACGCAGGTTCTTCGAGAACCCTGAGGAGGAGGGGGAGGAGCAGCGCGTTGGCTTCTTTAGATGTGGATGGTGCCCCCCCACAGCGCAACAAGAGGCGGAGGATGTAGACCTTCTCGGTCGCGGAGTTTCTTTGGACTTCATGGTTCTGATTCCAGTTATTCCATTTCGTTTCTTTGGATGGTATCTGCTGTGTTGTAGTGTAACAATGTTTTTTCCCTTTCCATTTGTTTACTAGAATGGTTCTGTTTAGTCCCCCTGGGGCCTGTTGTACCTCATTAGTCTGTCAAACTGTTGGTCAAGCCAAATGTGGAGGGTTGTTGTGGGATGAAATTTCCCCTGTTGATTGGATGCCAAAATGTGCATTCAGAGCAATGAGATTTCTATGTACTGCTTATAATTCATAGAAACTCTGGTCATCAAAGTATCAAACTGAGAGGTTATATAGGATAGTATATGAAATACCCAGAAAATGGATGGAAATGTTGCCTTTGTTGCTTGAGAAGCCAAGCCTGATCTTTTATGCTCATTTATCCTCCAACATAAGTTACTCTCAAAAGCATATATTTCATTCACTGATAGTTCTGGCAGCAAGCCAACTCATCATTTTCGCAATGTTAATAGAAGTTCTTTTTCTCATGAGAGCAAGTTAAAACGTGGTATAGGAAACAACAAACTGGAAATGGAACCTCTAAAGAAACACCTGACTACGGCATTGTTTCATTTGCTGGTTCGTGTAGTCTTTCTGATATTATCTTCCATTATCTTGGTTTTGCATTTATTCGCCGGACGTTTACAACGTGTATAGTGAGGTTCTTGGAGACCGATCACTAGTTCCTGAGCAAAGAAACTACAGTTGCATAAGTATTCATCGTCTACACACCAAGTAACTTGAAGACCATCAAATTGCATCTCATTTATTCATAATTTACAAAAAAAAAAAGATTGTGCATTTGGAACTCACGTGGCTGACAAGTCTGAAAGGGATAAAGAGAGGAGCAGGAGGGGGAAAAAGATGCAATGTGATCAAGACCTATGTTTCTTTTAGTGTTCGTGGCCTATATGTTGTATCGAACTCATACAGTTCAGAGCCCAAAGATCTACAGATCGATACCCTAGATACGGCTTATGTCACGGCCGAATATCATCGTGGTCAGCCAGTTGATAGCCACATAGAGCCTATTTCTCCAGCTGACAACACGAGTCAGGTATGCTGAGCGCCAGATGAACCAGCTTGCAAATCCTGCGATGGATATGCCCTTCGAGTCCTGCGAATAGGAAAAAAAAACGCTCAGTTCGAGTCTAGTGAGCTGCAAAGATTCACAAAGAACGGAGGAGCAACCAACCTTGCTTTGCCTCAGGTCCACCAGAGCTTTGTACCTTCCAACGGTTGCCATACTCCCTAGATGCTTATACACAAACTTTGGACCTAGATCGGCTTCGACCTGGGAATTTGCGTGCCCTCCTCCAGCCTTCATCACACGGTTGAGCAGGCGAGCAAGGTACAAGCCTTGCCGCTCGGCAACCTGTTCAGGAGTACAAGTGGGGAACAAAATCATAGAATGCATGACTGATATGCAGCAGCGCGAAGAGATAGTCTTATGTCATGCCCAACACCCCAAGTGTCTGTAATTTGGTGGGAAGTATAAGCATCTCTTTGCGCTGCTGCATATCCCCATTTTTTTTTCTGAGATAGTAACTTGACAAAATGCTTTCATACTCTTGAACTGCGTCAAGATAGTTCATGAAATTACCTGCGCTAAGGCTGGGAGAACTTCCTTGCCGGTGCTTTCAAGGAAACCACAGCAATCACCAACAGCAAATACATCTGGGACAGAAGGAACACGTAACCACTCATCTACACCTATCCTGCAAACAGTACATAACCTATTAACAATCCTAGGATTTACA